CGCCTTAACTATGGTATTTTGTTAAAATTAAATATGTAATAGTAACTCTAATTGCTCAATTTAAAATCTAATATAAATAATTCGATGCTTGTGAATTCAGATCTGGTTGTAAATTTTTACCATCTCAACTCTATCTCCTCTTATCCCCCACTGTCACAATCTAATATTCACCTATGCCTTAATCTCATATATCCCACCAAAATAATAATCTACTATCTCATTTATTTCAATAATCTAAATGAACACAAACAATTATCCCAATAATCTGAATCGACACAAATAATTATCCCAATCTTCCTACTCACATTCTAATATTGGTACTACTACAAGTTATAATAACTAATCTATCATTATACTGTTGTATCTATCATTATACTGTTGTATCTATCTCGACACCTGGATATTAAACTACCTTATATTTTTATCATACACAATTTAAAACACACTAAATTATATATATTCCCACCTCATAAGACTTTAAGATCCCTCTAACAGAAATCCAAACCAGAATAATATCAGTTTCTACCATTCTCATTTCCATTTTTCTGTCACAGAACTAATTCATTTAATATACTTTCAATAGCATTATATCAATTTACATCTATTCATATAATTAACTTGTATAATTCAACTTATTTTATTATAACTCTTCTCTTTCTTATATATTAATATAAATAATTTTACAATTTTTAGTTCAAAATACAATTTTATATTTTGTAATATTTTTTCTTATATGAGTTTCTTTGTTATCCAACTGATAATAAATAATATTTATAGCACTAAATATAAAACTAACAAAACATAAATTTCATCATTTTGAATTTTTTTGTCAGGAATATTAAATATTAATGTATTAATGTATTTATATAGGGAAAGAAGCCTTAGATATAATTACTTAAGGTTATTAGTTAAAAGATATATGAGGTTATAAAACTATTATAATAACTATACAGTAATATTAAATATATAAAGATCTTTATCGTCATCTCTTTAATAACAAGAAGTGTATATCTTTACTTCAGGAACTATCTCATTTATATACATTTCATTGGTACTTTATTAGTGTCAACCTTTTCATGAAACATGACTAAATCCTCTTTCGTTATTTTAATTCTTTTGTACTTAAGCGTAATCAATACCAAATCCTTATCACATAAGGATGTAATAAATTAGATCACCGTGGTATTAATAGAGGCACGGTTACCTGAATAGTAAGGTTACTGCGATTCAATGGAATAATTAGAATAACAATTGCCAAAACTAACTTCAGTTACATTTATTGCTATAAAGAGTGATTATTGTATATTATTGTATATTATTGTATATTATTGTATATTATTGTATATTATTTAGTATGCTAACTTGCATATAAAGAAAACATCAGTAACATTATTAATTAGTAGTATATTTACTCTCTAATACAGATCTCCACATTAAGTTTCTCTAGAATACATGAATAACAGACTTTATTCTAATGTACACCTAATTAACTATACAACTATATAATAATTAAAACTTACCAAATACCGACCAAACAATACATCACAGATAGACAGTATAATAAGGCCTGCGCAGATTCTCTACAGTAAAATTCTTGATTCAATTTGTAATCTATATTTACTTAAATAGAAGTGATTTAACTGACATTAATGTTTTCTAAGAAATGCTAAAGCAAAAGGATACTATCCACCAATTTAGTCACTATTATGGTTTTAAGAAGGGGTACATTATTACTTTATATACAACTCTCCAATTAAAATACATACTACAACTACATTGTATTCATATTCTGGTGTATTAACCCTTCACTTTGACATATTTTATATTTAAATATTATAAAATTTATAAATACTTAATAATGGGATTGGTATTCTAAAATATGTTTTGATCACTATTGATTTCAATACCAAATAAGATTCAACAATATATGTATTTTAACAATAATATACATAATTCATAGAAAGAAAGTTCTTTAATGATATATAAACAGTTGAATATTTATAAATATCATATTGATTTCACAAAAATAATAATAATAGAAACACTGAACACAAATTATTTAACCTAACATCAAATTCCATTTGATTTATTAAATTATATAACATTCTCAAGTTCATAAGATGTTATACACTAGTATAAAGCTAATAAAACAAGAACAGTATTTCAATATGGATCTGACGAAAAACAGCTTCTTCTCTAAATTTAACTTAAAAAAAAATGGCACAAATAATATATATTGTGTTGATTATTTATACAATATGTGAATATATCAACGAACTAAAACCGGTAGTTATAAATCTTAAATAGACTAAACTAAAATTGCCATAAAAATCATACCAATGAAGCCGGATAAGGAATTGCTTATCTTATTTGATACACCAGCACCTTCATAAGTAGATGAAATACCTACAGTAGCAGATGGGTTAGATCCAGATGATGTAACACCATCACTGGCAGAAGTATTAAAGTCTGATGATACGGTCGACATAGAGCTACCTGGTGGAACCAATGTAGTTACACTTTGTGTATCAGAATTTGGAACAGATGAGGTTATCACAGTTGTTTGACCAGCAGAGTCGGTTGTAGTAATGTGGGTAACAGTATTATCTGTTGGTTTAGCAGTTTCACTAGCAACAGATGAGGTTATAACAGTGGTGTGACCTTCAGAGTTGGTTGTCGTAATAAGGTTACCAGTGCTAACTGTTGGTTTAGTTGATGCTACCGAAGTAGAACATATAACCGTAGTAGTCAAAGTCACGACATTACCATCAGATATAGTGGCAGTTACAGTCGAAAGCGATACTGTGATATCAACTGAAGAACCAGAAACATCCGACAACTCTAAAATACGGGTATCGATAATAACATTACCTTCCGAGTCGGTGGAACTGTAGGTGGAAGTAGTCAATTCTTCTTCATCAGTGGTGTGAGAGACAGGGTAGGTGGTTGTACCGGTGGTGGCATTACCGTCAGAGTCGGTGGAACTGTAGACTGAAGTAGTTGATTCTTCTTCATCATTGGTGTTATTGACTGGGTAAGTAGTAATACCGATGGTGACAATACCGTCAGAGTCGGTGGAAGTGTAGATTGAAGTAGTTGATTCTTCTTCATCATCGGCGTGATTGACTGGATAAGCAGTGGTTCCGGTGGTGACAATACCTTCCGAGTCGGTGGAGCTGTAGATTGAAGTAGTTAATTCTTCTTCATCATCGGCGTGATTGACTGGATAAGCAGTGGTTCCGGTGGTGACAATACCTTCCGAGTCGGTGGAGCTGTAGATTGAAGTAGTTAATTCTTCTTCATCACTAGTGTGAGAGACAGGTTTGGTGGTTGTACCGATGGTGGCATTACCTTCAGAGTCGGTGGAACTGTAGGTGGAACTAGTCAATTCTTCTTCATCACTGGTGTGAGAGACTGGGTAGGTAGAGGTACCGATGGTGACAATACCGTCAGAGTCGGTGGAACTGTAGGTGGAAGTAGTCAATTCTTCTTCACTAGTGTGAGAGACAGGTTTGGTGGTTGTACTGATGGTGGCATTACCCTCAGAGTTGGTGGAACTGTAGACTGAAGTAGTTGATTCTTCTTCATCACTAGTGTGAGAGACAGGTTTGGTGGTTGTACCGATGGTGACAATACCTTCCGAGTTGGTGGAACTGTAGACTGAAGTAGTTGATTCTTCTTCATCACTAGTGTGAGAGACAGGTTTGGTGGTTGTACCGATGGTGGCATTACCTTCAGAGTCGGTAGAACTGTAGACTGAAGTAGTTGATTCTTCTTCATCATTGGTGTTATTGACTGGGTAGGTGGTTGTACCGATGGTGACAATACCGTCAGAGTCGGTGGAACTGTAGGTGGAAGTAGTCAATTCTTCTTCATCACTGGTGTGAGAGACTGGGTAAGTAGTAATACCGATAGTGACAATACCTTCCAAGTCGGTGGAACTGTAGATGGAAGTAGTCAATTCTTCTTCATCACTGGTGTGAGAGACAGGGTTGGTGGTTGTACCGATGGTGACAATACCTTCAGAGTCGGTAGAACTGTAGGTGGAACTAGTCAATTCCTCTTCATCATTAGTGTTATTGACTGGGTAGGTGGTTGTACCGATGGTGGTATTACCTTCAGAGTCGGTAGAACTGTAGACTGAAGTAGTTGATTCTTCTTCATCATTGGTGTTATTGACTGGGTAAGTAGTAATACCGATGGTGACAATACCGTCAGAGTCGGTGGAACTGTAGACTGAAGTAGTCAATTCTTCTTCATCACTGGTGTGAGAGACAGGTTTGGTGGTTGTACCGATGGTGGCAATACCTTCCGAGTTGGTGGAACTGTAGACTGAAGTAGTTGATTCTTCTTCATCACTAGTGTTATTGACTGGGTAAGTAGTAATACCGATGCTGACAATACCTTCCGAGTTGGTGGAACTGTAGACTGAAGTAGTTGATTCTTCTTCATCACTGGTGTGAGAGACAGGGTTGGTGGTTGTACCGATGGTGACAATACCTTCAGAGTCGGTAGAACTGTAGGTGGAAGTAGTTGATTCTTCTTCATCACTAGTGTGAGAGACAGGTTTGGTGGTTGTACCGATGGTGACAATACCTTCCGAGTCGGTGGAACTGTAGATGGAAGTAGTCAATTCTTCTTCATCACTGGTGTGAGAGACTGGGTAGGTAGAGGTACTGATGGTGACAATACCTTCAGAGTCGGTGGAACTGTAGGTGGAAGTAGTCAATTCTTCTTCATCATTGGTGTTATTGACTGGGTAAGTAGTAATACCGATAGTGACAATACCTTCCAAGTCGGTGGAACTGTAGATGGAAGTAGTCAATTCTTCTTCATCACTGGTGTGAGAGACAGGGTTGGTGGTTGTACCGATGGTGACAATACCTTCAGAGTCGGTAGAACTGTAGGTGGAAGTAGTCAATTCCTCTTCATCATTAGTGTTATTGACTGGGTAGGTGGTTGTACCGGTGGTGACATTACCGTCAGAGTTGGTGGAACTGTAGACTGAAGTAGTTGATTCTTCTTCATCACTAGTGTGAGAGACAGGTTTGGTGGTTGTACCGATGGTGGTATTACCTTCAGAGTCGGTAGAACTGTAGACTGAAGTAGTTGATTCTTCTTCATCATTGGTGTTATTGACTGGGTAAGTAGTAATACCGATGGTGACAATACCGTCAGAGTCGGTGGAACTGTAGACTGAAGTAGTCAATTCTTCTTCATCACTGGTGTGAGAGACAGGGTTGGTGGTTGTACCGATGGTGACAATACCTTCAGAGTCGGTAGAACTGTAGGTGGAAGTAGTCAATTCCTCTTCATCATTAGTGTTATTGACTGGGTAGGTGGTTGTACCGGTGGTGACATTACCGTCAGAGTTGGTGGAACTGTAGACTGAAGTAGTTGATTCTTCTTCATCACTAGTGTGAGAGACAGGTTTGGTGGTTGTACCGATGGTGGTATTACCTTCAGAGTCGGTAGAACTGTAGACTGAAGTAGTTGATTCTTCTTCATCATTGGTGTTATTGACTGGGTAAGTAGTAATACCGATGGTGACAATACCGTCAGAGTTGGTGGAACTGTAGACTGAAGTAGTTGATTCTTCTTCATCACTAGTGTGAGAGACAGGTTTGGTGGTTGTACCGGTGGTGACATTACCCTCAGAATCGGTGGAACTGTAGGTGGAAGTAGTCAATTCCTCTTCATCATTGGTGTTATTGACTGGGTAAGTAGTAATACCGATGGTGACAATACCGTCAGAGTCGGTGGAACTGTAGGTGGAAGTAGTCAATTCTTCTTCACTAGTGTGAGAGACTGGGTAGGTGATTGTACTGATGGTGGCATTACCCTCAGAGTCGGTGGAACTGTAGGTGGAAGTAGTCAATTCTTCTTCACTAGTGTGAGAGACAGGTTTGGTGGTTGTACCGATGGTGGCATTACCTTCAGAGTCGGTAGAACTGTAGACTGAAGTAGTTGATTCTTCTTCATCACTAGTGTGAGAGACTGGGTAGGTGATTGTACTGATGGTGGCATTACCCTCAGAGTCGGTGGAACTGTAGGTGGAAGTAGTCAATTCTTCTTCACTAGTGTGAGAGACTGGGTAGGTGGTTGTACCGGTGGTGACATTACCCTTAGAGTCGGTGGAACTGTAGGTGGAAGTAGTCAATTCCTCTTCATCATTGGTGTTATTGACTGGGTAAGTAGTAATACCGATGGTGACAATACCGTCAGAGTCGGTGGAACTGTAGGTGGAAGTAGTCAATTCTTCTTCACTAGTGTGAGAGACTGGGTAGGTGATTGTACTGATGGTGGCATTACCCTCAGAGTCGGTGGAACTGTAGGTGGAAGTAGTCAATTCTTCTTCACTAGTGTGAGAGACAGGTTTGGTGGTTGTACCGATGGTGGCATTACCTTCAGAGTCGGTAGAACTGTAGACTGAAGTAGTTGATTCTTCTTCATCACTAGTGTGAGAGACAGGTTTGGTGGTTGTACCGATGGTGGCATTACCTTCAGAGTCGGTGGAACTGTAGGTGAAAGTAGTCAATTCTTTTTCAGTAGCGTGAGAGACTGGGTAGATGGTTGTACCGATGGTGGTATTACCTTCAGAACCGAAGGAAGTGTATTCTAATTTATGGTACGATTGTTGTCGTGTTATTAATTCAGTTTTTATTTCCGATATTGTGTGAGGCATTTTTACGGTGCTGTTTGAAATTGTAGTGTAAGTCTCTATATTTTCAGAATCGGTTTCTATAATTTCCGATGTGGATGCATTAGAAGATTCTATTGACTTAGTGGAGTTAGAAGTAATAGAAATAATTGAATTATCTGAAACATATGAGCTATATGCACTTGTACCTGTCTTTTCTATGGATTCCATAGAAGTATTGTTTGAAAAACCACTATCAGCTATCATTGATGATTCGAGAGAAGAGCTGTTTTTCATAGTGCTTTCGGAAGCAATTGAGGAATCAATGGATGATTTGACAGAAGAGGTATTGTACATAATACTTTTAGATAGGAATGAACTTTCATATAGAGAATCTGGAACAGAAATTACAAAAGAACCATTTAAATATGATGAAAATTCGTAAGAGGATTTTGTGGAAGATGCAAATGGTGTTTCTATAACAAAAATAGTTTCAGTAGTCCAGAAACCTTCCTTGTCACTAAATGTCGTAATAAATGTTGTAACAGTTGCATCAGCTGTTACAGCTCCACCGACATAATCTGTTCTTGTAATTTCATAATGAGGTCCGTATACAAAATAAATTGTTTGAGTTGCTTCATTAAGGAATTTATCCGTGATAGTTCCAATGGAAGTGTAATATGTAGACAATGATCTTAAAGACCAGTATGATGAAGTTGTAGATGTAATTTCCCTTGCAGGTGTCATAATAAAATATATTGTTTCTGTGATTTCATCACCTTCAGAATTAATTGTAGTAAAAATTGATGTAGAATAAGTACTGGTAATGGAACCAGATGCAGTAAAAGACGTGACAGTACTTCCACGGATAGGAGTCATAACAAAATAGATACTTTCTGTAATCTCATTACCTTCTTTATCTGTCAAGGTTAACACTTCGGTGGAATAAGTAAAAGTGCCATCTATGATGTCGACAGCTGTGTATAAAGTTGATGTAGTTTTTTGAATAGGAGTGTATACGAAATATGTCGTTTCAGTTGTTACGTTACCATCTGAATCAGTGAATGTCGTTAGAATTGTTTTGAAGGTTCTCCTAGATATGTTAGGAATACCAGATACTTTTGTGGTGGTGTAAAAACGGTATGGAGTATTCACAAAGTATATTGTTTCAGTAATAACAAAATCATTTTCATTCGTGTATGTGGTAACAAAAGTGGAAAACGTTAGTGATATATCACTAGACCAAGCAGTATAGCTCGTAGAGGTTCTATTATGGTCAGGTGTTCCAACAATGTAAATAGTTTCTGTAGTTTCTTCTCCATCAATACCAGTAAATGTTCCTGTAATAGTTGTAAATGTCAGTGTTACTTCTTGATCATACCCAGTGGTAGTGGTGGTACTAGTTGCTCTATAAGGTGTATAAACTAAATATAATGTTTCAGTGGTTTCTTCGTTATCTTCACCAATAATAGTAGTAACAATCGTTTGGAATGTAGATGTCAAATTTGGAGATGGAAAGGCAGAATAACTAGTAGATATTACTTCACGAATTGGTGTTTCTACAACATATACAATACGATCCCAAACGCCTAAAAACGTACTTGAAAAACCATAACTGTAAGATGTGGTTGTTAAAATCGTGGATGTATAATCACCAGCCCATGGTACGTAAATAATAACACCGGTATCAATTGGTGTGACGATATAAATAATAGTAGTTCCTACAGAAGTAACTGTGGATATATCACTTATGTAGTCCTTATCCCATGAACTAAAAACGGTGCTCAATCTTGTATTTTCTGGGATAAGAACGGAATAGATGGTTTCGGTTGTTTCTAAGCCATCTTTACCAATGAAAGTAGTAACCCCGGTACTTAAAGTAGTAGTACCTTGAATAGTTTGCAGAAAGAATTCTGGAGTATAGATAACACGAGTAGGTGTTACAACATAATAAATCGTTTCTGTAGTTGCATTTCCCCAAACATCGGTTATTGTGACGATATCAGTCGAATAAGTTGAATAATCCGTACCTGTCCAATATGAAAAAACATAGGAAGTAGACAAACAGATAGGTGTTTGAATAATAAAAATAGTATGGGTCCAGGAAGCCAAAAAGTTATCATAGTAATCCAAAGTTGTGTAAACACTGGTTTGAATCGTTGATGTGTATGTTCCAGTCCAAGGAATATATGAATATAATGCACTTAGCACTGGAGTTTGGACAACATAAATTGTATAAATCGAAGAAAATCCTTTTGAGTCGATAATAGTTGTTACAAAAGTGGTGCTTGTTGTAACATATGTACCAGTCCATTGTGTCATTACTGTAGAGTGTTCAACATCAACAGGAAGGACCACATAATACACAATGGCCCATGAATAATCATAAACTCCACCAACAGTAGTGGTAAAAGTTGATGTGGTCACTGTGGTTGAAGAAGTAAATGTACCTTGTGAGTAAATGAATGACGAAACTGTAGGAGCAGGGGCAAAAATGAAGTAAATGGTTTCAGTTGTTGATTCGTTATCGACCCCGACAAAGGTAGTTATACAAGAAGAGCTAGAAATAGTTTGTAGATTCCAGTTACTAGTCCAGCTGAACAAAGATGTTCTACGAATCGGTGTTCTTAATATATATTGGGGATAGATCCACAACCCGAAGAAAATACCGCTGAAACCAAAAGCTACTGTATAGCCAATTTGACTATATGTTGTGTAAGTACCTGTCCAATATGTTGTGAGCCACTTACCACCATCAGGGGTAGGTGTATGGACATAGTAAACTGTTTTCTCAGTAGAATATCCATCAGTTCCTCTTTCTGTAGTCTTACTGATATTATAAGTAATAGTGTATTGACCAGTCCACACTGCAGTTGTTGTGGTCTTATATAGATCTGTTGGAATTGCAATATAATATGTTGTCTGAGTAGTCTCATTACCATCTTTATCTGTTATGGTAGTGCAAAAAGTTGCAAATGTAGATGTTAGTGTTCCACCAAAAGGACTATTCTTGATAGTATAAGTACTAGTATATCGACGTGTTGGAGTATAAACATGATAGATAATTTGTTTAGTGACATTACCATCTAAATCAGTAAAAGACGTATATTCAGTAGAATAAGTGGTAGTATACTTGTGTGTACTATATGTCGTACTACATATGATTGTTTCATAATATGGAATTTTAATATAATAATAAGTTGCAGTACCAAGAAGTATACCAATATAATAATTTGAACTTACTGAAGTAGAATAATAAGTCGTATAAGTACCAGTCCATGGCGTAGTTATCGAAATACCAGGTGGACGAGAAGTGTAAACGTAATAAACAGTACCAGTGGTTAGAAGACCATCATCACCAGTAGTAACAACAATGGATGTCGCATGAGTAGTTAAAAATAAACCAGTCCAACCTTCCGTAGTAGTTGAATGTAAAAAGTTGGCGGGAATAGCTACATAGTATTTAGTTTCTGTAGTGGTATTGCCTTCCTCATCAGTAAAAGTATTAAAGATAGTGGAATATGTATAAGTAGATTCAGAACTAAAATTGCTTGTTGTTGAAACTGTAGATGTGACACGACGAACTGGAGTGGCGACAAAATAAATAGTCTTGGTTGTCGCATTACCTCGGGCATCAGTTGTAGTTAAAATGGAGGTAGACCATGTAGTCGTATAATCTATAGAACTCCAGGTAGTAATGAGGGAAGTACTTTGACGACATGGGGTGTAAACCCAATATAAAGTGGAGGTAGTTTGACCAACACCGATGAACCCACCAAGTACGGTCATGCCAGTTGAATAGAAGGTTGTATAAGTTCCAGTCCATGGAATAAATGTGGTTAAGCCTGAGTTTCTTGTAGTATAGACATAGTAAACAGTACCGATTGTTAAAATACCATCTTTACCTGTTGTAATAACAGTGGAAGTATCATGAGTCCTTCTTGAATGACCAGTCCAACCATCAATCGAAGTAGAAATGTAGAGATGATCAGGAATGGCAATATAATATGTTATATCTGTTGTTATCGAACCATCGTCTCCAACAATAGTATTATACAAGGTTGAATAGGTAGATGTGTAACTTGAAAAAAAGAAACTTCTTTTAGTATTAGTTGCTAGACTGGTGTAAATAGGATAGTACACTAAAGTTTTTGTGAGATATGTTTCAAAACCGTCACTTCCTACTCTAGTAATAACCATTGTACTAGTTGCTAATGATGGAACATTGGTATTAAAAGAAGTAGTGGTTGTTGAGATTGTTACTCTAGGAGTATAAATCCAATAATAAGTTGTAGTATAATATAAGAGGACACCATTAGTCTTATATGACGTTGAGTACGTCGAAGGAGTTTTTTTAGTCCAGTAAGTTCTCGAGTAGACTGTCGAGTCAGCTGTAACTAATAAAAATTGAGCCAAAAGCACCAGCAAAGTTGGTAGATATGTTGATTCCAACCTCATAGTTGTAGTTGGGATTGTTATTTGTGGGTTTTAAGTGTCTTTTAAAGAGTTTATGGATTATAAAAGGATTCAAAATATCCCCTTAGTAAACACCAAAATAGCAAAAGTAACCAGTATGGCCTTTTAACAAATTACTTCTAAAATCAATCTCTTCAAACCAATAATGACACAAAACATTTTATTAAAATTGTAATATATATATATATATATATATCGATGTTTAATAGATAAATAGATGGAACTATAGAGATAAAAATATGGAACTATAGAGATAAAAAGATGGAACTATAGAGATAAAAAGATGGAACTATAGAGATAAAAAACGTTCTCGCAACATAGATATATCATTATGTATATATCTTCCTATGTTTAATATAATTGAAATCTTATCATTATGCAATAGGATAACAAACAAAATTACAATTATATTAAAAGTTTCCTTTTTTCTACACTGTCTTTTTAGCCTCTTGTGAATTGATAAGAGGAGTTTGTCGCATCTTTCCCCTCCAACTACTTTATTTTGTCCCCAAATAATTTTTGAATCATTACTTGCCAAGAAATGGACCCTAAAAAATATAAAAAGAAATCTTTCTAAAAAATATATGTTTGTCCAATAATCCCTTTGTGACAATTTTACATGGATGGGTGCAAGTTATAAAAAAAAGAAATTTTTTTATCAAGACTCAAACAAATAGAGGCTAAAAAAATGTATTAAAGTCTTATATTATAGTGAATCAACAATAAGAAATGGGGCTGTTCGATTAAAGAGAACTTTGGACCTAGTAAGATCGACCTGATAAAATAACACTAAAAATGTATATATGGTCTCTTCATAGAATTGGTTGCTCTTTCACTTGAAAAAGGAAAAATGAATTAAATAGGATAACCGAAATGGATACCGAAATGGATTAATTTCCTTTTTTGTTAAATTATTAGATCTCTTACGACTGACAAGGTTTTGGAGAACTAAAACAGAAATGTCCTTTACCCTGGGCTTTTTCTCGAATTTAAAAGACAACAAAATGTAAGAGATTTACTACCAAGTGAATTTTAAGCGAACCCCTTAGAATCATAAGTAAAAGTAGAATTCTCTGCAGCAAAACTCCGAAAATATTCTACCGCAGAGAGGATGTATTAACAATTATCTAACATGCACTCAATAAAATATTTCCACCAAAATTGACTTAAATAATTAGTATATCTTACTTCTTACATACATCTTTCTATTTAAAGTCTAATTTAATATTTTTCATTTTTTAGCTCTAACCTAAGTTTTAACTATACCATACATTAACTAGATTTTTGTTTGTCATCCTTATATATATATATATATATCAATCTATATAACGTATTAAACCTATAATCGACAGTTTTCTCTTCCACATCAGAAGCATCAGAACTGAATTACTGTTTGTCAACAATATAATAATTATATTATTATTCTTGCGTTAAATCAGATAAATAATACAACTTTATCCACACTCAATGAACTACTCACTGTCCTTTTATTATTTCATTAGAACAATCAAGTTCAAGTTCAGATTATGTATCCTTATAGTTGCCAATATTAATCAGAATTGCTGGACACTATATAACTGCATCCATTGGTATAAGTGATTCCCTATATTAATTGCTTTTTAGTTTTGTGATATTGGAATATTAAGGGATTTATATTTTCTTTCAGATCTATCAAATAAAATGTCATTTCCGGAGTTTTTTAAACGACTACAATGTACATAAGAGAAACAATATTTACAGTATCATTTTTTCCACTTATTCATGTTGATAATCTTTCCGACTCAGGTTAATGTATGTACTTATTTAGTACTGTCATTTGTGAATGCAGTAACAGTATATATATATATATAAATTGTCAATTAAACAACATGATTCACAAAATCCACAAAACCTAGAGATGAACTTGGAAATAACCAAATTTTACCACACCCCATTCATGAAGAATTGTATCTTGAACATGAATTCAAAACTTTAATTCGCAGTTTTTTATTTGTGCTAAATTATAATGAAATAATTCAGCAGTGTCAATTCATACCACAAACCTTTTTATTATTAAAAAATATAATAATACAATTAATAAGAAGGCCAGAAAAACTAAGTACTGTCTATAATATATTATTAGAGTCCCAATGGAATAACGTAAAAAAATATCAGAATTATTTCTTATAGCTATAGAAATATAACCAATATTATTCACTTTATTTTTTGAGCATCATAGCATTTTATTAAAATGCTATCTCTATCGTTAAAAATCTATATCCAGTTATAACTATATTACGTAATGTTGATTTTTTTTATGTCACTTTCTATAACCCATAATATTTAAAAGTTGTAATATCACGTCAATATTATTATTTCATTAATATAAAATAGCGGATAGTAAAGTTCGTATTTGGTAGAAGAAGTTTAAAAAATGCAAATGAAGTAGCAAAATAGTAGGTACTGGGAATACATCATCCTTTTGTAATAACATTTATCTCCTTAATTTAATGAACATAATAATTTTCCAATTAATTTTCCATAATTTACTTTATCAACGTATATATACTGGTTTCAAAGGAACTATGAAATTCGAATGAAATTCAATTATCACTCGAATGATTAATTTAATAAAAATGCATTTTGTAGATGAGTTATATTTATTTATTATTGGTATAGTTGTACGGCATTAATAGAAATATATAAAATTTCATTCATTAGAACATTCTTTCATACTTGAAATTTCAAATCTATCTATATATATATATATATATACCTAAAAAAGTAGATATCATTAAAAGTAAAGAATCATTGCTTTCACTGAAATATAGTAATAATTAATTTTTTGATTACAAACATACATTTTAATTTGATAACTGACTTCATTTAAAAGTGGACTAACTAAGAAAAAGATTTTTAACTTTTGTCAACCTAAATCCTTCACGAAATACCTCAATACAAAACTTACTCATGAAAAGTACCTAAAATCTAATTCTTAGTTACCTTCTATATTTTACTTCGCTTCTCAAAACCATCGACATTCCCTCCTTTATATTTTCCTATTTGTTTGAAATGGGTTATCCGAAACTTAATTTTCTTGTTTCCAGCGACCATTGACTTTTGATGTCAATAAACACTTGTTAATGCTGCACAAAAAACGAATGACAAGTTCGTGACATTATAAAGGCATGAAGATATTTATTCAAAAATCCCAAGGTTCTTGGAAACGACACTATTTTAATAGTTGATTAATTATTTTTGAAAAGTATTGATTCAATCGGATGTTTTGATATAATCCATGATTTTTCAAGGATATCAAAAATTAGCAATAGAGAATATTTCGTATATATCATTTGAAAGAAATCAAATATAAGCAGTAATATTGATCTGTTGTTACCTTAAAATCTTTACTAAAAATATTCTGTTTCAATATCATATTCCATTTATATATGAACGATAATAGGCTAGCATGCAAATCCAGAAATGACAAAAATGTGAATGTTTATATCTTGATTTGTAATACCGGCACTCATTCTGTATAATAATTGAATTCTATAAAAAAGATACCACGCCATATAAATAAATATATTTGTGTTTTCTAACTCATTTTGTAAATAACTAAATTATACTGTAAATATCAACATATTTTACATCTCAATTTAACTACTTCTTTCTAAAAATTCCTATTTATATTTAAATCTCTTCATATATAGTCAATTGAAATGTCAATTTAAAATGAATTAAAAGTATGCAATAAACCAACCAAATATTTTTTATATTCTTCATTTGATTTGTTACAGTTGGACACACATGCAGAGCTGTGAAATGATTGTTCCGTTGTATTGTTGATGTGACATTGACATTTGCACTCAGAGCTTTCTACTTTGTAATATTGTAAGCTGTCGAGTTTTCTAGAGGAACCTGAACCATTTGATAGCCAAATACTATTATCAAAGCTCTCCTTTGCAGTACCAGCTGAAATTAAGGTAATTCCATTAAATGAAGAGGTACGCTTAGAATGATGCTTCGAATGAAGCTTAGCGTTAGCATATTTAAATTTAAATTTAACTCTACGAAACTCTGACTTCATTTTTCTACTAAATGTCATTTATATTTCCCTTAGCCAAAGTCTAGAAAGCAGATAAATACATATATCTTTATGTATGTATTTGGGAAATGTCATTAAATCAAGATGATCTTTTGGGAAACACAAAAGTTCATATTTATACCACTAAATATTTATTTGATATCAAACCTGATTTTACGGGAATCAAGATGATAGCAAAAAGGTAAAATAAAATAAAAGTAAAATAGTAGACAACAAATGAACAAGAACCCTTTTCTGGCTTAATAATAGTTGATCTATAAAAACTATTATATATAAACTCTAGATTAGCAAGAATTTAACTTAGTTTTTGCTATTAGCAAACTTATACTTTAACCGTGAAAATCATTTTTTTAGACACTGTCAAGCAAATACACATCAAGAACATCAAAAATAATATCAATAAGCACTTACACTAACATATTATCTAGATTAGAATATCCCGATAGCTTGATAGTTTGATAATTCGATAGTTTCATAGTTTCATATGTTCGACTGTTTATTTATGTCATCGTACTATGGGCGTTGATGTGACTGACTATCAGTTACTATATTTTCAAACTTAGCTGGCAATGGTAATTCACGGAAAGTTCTTAAATATCAGGAATTTATAATTTCTCGAAGAATGTTTCGTACAAAGGTCGGAAAATTTTTTTGAATTCGAAATTGACTAATACCTGAATCGATCAGAAAATAAAGATGATAGCTATGATGATGATGGAATTGAATATGGTCTTACGAATACTTATTTAACTTTTAAGTTTTAAGATTAAAAATTAATTTCAATATATTTAGTCAAATATTCATATATACAATCAAGCAAACAAAAAAATAAAGTCAAGTACTCTGGAAACGATGGCTCAAAAGGAAGTTAATGTTGCTGTTATTGGTGCAGGTGTTGTTGGTTCTGCATTTTTAGACCAAATCATTGCCATGAAGGCACCAATTAAATATAATTTAATTGTTATTGCTGAATCAAAGAACAGTTTGATTTCCGAAGACTACTCTCCATTGCAATTGGATTCCAATTGGTCTCAAACTCTATCAAATTCTAAGCAAGAAACTTTACCATTAGAAAAATTGATTGAGTTTCTATCAAAGTCTCCTTTACCTGCTATTTTAGTTGATAATACATCTAGTGCTTATATTGCAGGATTTTATCCAAAAATTGTTGAAAGTGGTATCTCTATTGCTACTCCAAACAAGAAAGCTTTCTCCTCTGATTTGGATACTTGGAATAAGTTGTTCTCTGGTAATCCAGGCAATGGTTTAGTTTATCATGAAGCTACTGTTGGTGCTGGTTTGCCAATTTTAGGTCCATTGAGAGATTTCATTCAAACTGGTGATGAAGTTGAAAAAATTGAAGGTATCTTTTCCGGTACTTTATCTTATATCTTTAATGAATTTTCTACAGCCACTCCAAACGATATCAAATTCTCTGACGTTGTGAAAGTCGCTAAACAAGCAGGTTACACTGAACCAGATCCAAGAGATGATTTAAACGGTTTGGACGTTGCTAGAAAAGTTACTATTGTTTCTAGAATTTCTGGTTTGAAAATTGAATCTCCAACTTCATTCCCTGTTCAATCTTTAATTCCAAAGCCATTAGAAAGTGTAGAAAGTGTGGATGAATTTATGGCTAAATTACCAGAATATGATGATGAATTGACTAAGTTGAAGGAAGAAGCTGCCAAAGAAAACAAAGTATTGAGATTCATCGGTAAAGTCGATGTTCCAAACAACAAAGTTTCTGTTGGTATTGAAAAATACGACTATTCTCATCCTTTCGCCTCCTTGAAAGGTTCTGATAATGTTATCTCTATTAAGACTAAGAGATACGTTAACCCAGTTATTGTACAAGGTGCTGGGGCTGGTGCAGCTGTCACTGCAGCAGGTGTCTTGGCAGATGCTATCAAAATTGCTGAAAGGGTTTAATTTAATTTCAACCTTGGAAGATTATGGAATTGTTAAATTTACATAGATATTTTTATGAATATATAAATAGTCTATATAAATTATAAATGCATTAGATTGTATTATATTTTCTCTTGTTTGATTAATTTTTTTTTGGCTCTCTTTATATCATCATTAAAGTATTTATTTATTCTTTTGGCTGTTGTTCTTGTTCTTGTCTTAATCTTTCTTGTCTTTGTTGTTCTTCTTCCATTGATAGACGTAATGCCATTGCTAATTCAGGGTCCATTGAAGGGTCTACGCCAAAATCCATAAATGAGTTATCGTCAAAGTTTGAACCACCCATCATATTAGTACCATTGTTATGTTCCATTATTATTGGCGAAGATGCAATATTCTCATATAGTAATCTTGCAGCAGAAGGTTGGACAGTAAGTAAATGGCTTTGATCATCTGTAGAATTAGTATTATTTACAGTTGAGATGAAATCTTGTAAGAAAGTAGTATTTGAATCAATTTCACCGAAATTTATAATATCTATAGCGATGTTATTTTTCTTCAATTTTTTGGCCAATGTTAACAAACTCTCCTTTTCAGAATCCTGGATTGGTGAGCACACAAAAATGATGATTCTTTGATGTTGTAACTTATTCTGACGATGTTTTAGAATCAATTGAGCTATTTGGATAGAATTCAACAAAGATGAACTGCCATCAATTTGAATTGAATTTAAACCCGACAAAATTTTACCAAATTCAGAGGTAAAAGTAGATAGAACTTGAGGGTTTGTACCACCAGCAGAAGAAATTAAAGCTAAAGTATTTTCAGGATTACTGTTTCTTTTAGCTTGGAAAATAAACTCAACAGAATCCATTTGAGCTTCAAATCTTGTAGTAGGGAAATCTCCATTTCTGGAATATTCAGAATTATCAACAATTAAAACAGTAGCTTCTAAAACCATTTTGTAACGATTATATCTATATGTGATCTATATATGTGATCTATATTAGTGGTTTCTTCTAAGCTGAAACGTTATCTATCAAACATTAACTAATCATTTTCTTATAATATCCAAAGGTGGCAAATGTACTATCATTTGTTCTTGTATCTTTCTAAACCTTTTTTTTATTTTTCTAAATTTTAAAGAAATTTCTATAGTTAGAATTTTAAATGCCTAGTACAAAGTGATAAAATACCTTCAAATAAGAGGTATTCTTGAAGATTATGAAGGTATCACCATAATCTATCTCAGTCTATGTATCTATATATCTATCTTAGAGTGAAGTATACTAGTTATATTGAAAAGAGATCATATAGTCTGGTACTTGTGAGTTCATTGCATTTCCAATAATGTTAATACCATCACGCATCCCAAATAAATAGCTATGACTTGCCAAACCGACTAAACCCATCCATATAACATCCATTATACTCAGGCCAAATATCAAGAGTAAATGGAGTTTTGTATTAAATCCTATAATATGCATCACTCCATACGGTGGTTACGAATGAATGAATACACGGTGGTTACAGATAGATAATATAAACTTGATTCGATTCTACTTGTTTGTTGTTTTAAAAGTCAGCATCACCAGCAATAAGGACAGACAGGCAGACAAGAATTATATGTGAAAGGGAAACTAATAGATTGTGTTTTTTGTTGGTTTACTTGTTTGTTTACTTGTTTGACAATTCTTGTTTCAACTGTATAAAAGACAATACGTGTTTGTGTAGATGAAACAGCCTTTCCAATATAATAACAACCACATACACATACACATACACATACACACACAGTCGAGACTATTATACAATATCACAAGATGAATATACAAGAATTAAAACAGGCCGTCATTGCACGACTTGATGAGATCGAGATGAACAAAATAGATGAAATCAGACAGTTGAAAGAACAGTATAATGAACAATTGAAAGATCAAGCAGTTGTATTAAAACAACAATACGAAAACAATGGACCACCACAACAAAATGCTAATGCTAATGCTAATGGCAATAGCAATAGTAATAGTAACAACACGATTGATTCTCAATTGGATAGAGAAAGAGAATCTGAGCAACCTCGTTCTACATGATAGAAGTTTTCCAATTGTAATAAACTCACGTGTTTTGTTCTTTTTTTTTTTTTTTCTTTGTTTCTCATTTTGAGACAGAGAGAAAGACCCACATAGATTTTAACGAGCATATTAAATTGTGTTGTTGGACTATCCGATTACCTTTTTTCTTTCATTTTGGCTGTTTGTTTCTAGCCAATTTAATTCGATGATTCATTCATTCACCTCCTTAACATGGGATGGGATGGATATCCATATGGTGTCTAGTGCATTGTTTTACCGACAGGCTGACCATACTGACTGGGATTGTTCGTATGTCCTCCCACTCTTTCTTTATTATGAGTTATTCAGCTATTGAAGGGGTCATAATGCGTGATTGTGTGTCTATAATATATGTGTAATTGTTTAGTTGTTTTACTTACTATTATGCTGCGATGTGATGATATATTGGTGTTTTTCACCTCGGTTATATCATCATTATCACGACAGCTATACTAATTGAGCTAGATCTATTTCCCTATCATAGACAACTCTCATATAACAAGTACAAGTACAAGTATACACTTTCAATACTGATTGGGCGGTTACACAATAGAAAAGGTAGCCCAGCAGGAATAGTAGTAGACAAAAGTCTGGCGTATCGTATCGTATCGTATACACTCTGAGCAATTGAAACAGTGGTTTTTGTGGTTGTTCTTCCTTTTTAACTCAGATTTATTTTTTTTATTTTATTTTTTTTTTTGGTTTTTGTGGTTTTTGGTAAACTTTTTGTGTAAATTTATTATTTATTGTTTTTTTATATTACAGTTACACAAAAACAACTAGTTCAACAAAAAATTATTTGGTATAAAAAGGACTACAAATAGATTAGATTTAAACTAAACAAAACTAAATTGTACTCTTCATTGATCATTCAGATAGGCAGACAAAGAAACGTCGGTTGATCGGTTTATTATTACATAAGATAATTATAATAAATATTTATTAGCAACAGGGAAACGGGGAGGAAACTGTTTATCTCATTACACAAATTTTTTGGCAGTACATATAACTGAGAAAGGAAGATACAAGAAATTTTTTATTTAAAAATAATAATAATAATAATAATAGTAGTGATAATAATAACAGTGCTAAATAGGATACATTACTATGATAGATCAATTGGCTGATACCCTTATTTATGAACATTTGAGAATTGAAAAAAATTGGTCTGTATTTTATACTACCCTTTTTAAAGATATTCACTGCAATTTTTTGGATTCAATTAATGCTAAACAAATCTTATCAAATACAAATGCAATTCAAAATATTTTACAACAAAAAAATGAAAACTCACAAAATAATTTATTATTTGTTAATCAATCAGATTTGACTAATTCTTTACAATTCTTAATTGATTTTACCCCTTCACCTGAAAAAAATGTCGTTATTAATATTAATATTAAGGATTATTCTTTGATTTCATTCTTTCAACATATCCCAAATTTATCAATTATAATTTCAAATAATTTAAATCATTTAAATTTAAATTTAGAGAAGTTGAAAAATTTAAATAATGGGAAATTATATCTACATTTTATCAATTATAATAACATTAAAAGTGATAACATTGAAATTAATTCACCAAAGATTATTAATTCGAATTCAAATTTTATTTTGTATGATATCTCATCTTCTCATACCCCTAAAAATTTAATAGTTAATTTCTCTTCATATTTGGAGAATTGGTTACGTGATTTATCAGATGATACAGCACTATTAGATATCTTATCATTAGATAATTGGGATTTAAATGACTTAATTTCAAACTTACCTAATTCAATCCAAAACGTAGTCATTATTCAAAGTTCAAATAATATCAATTTGAAAAATTATGATCCTTTCTTATTAAGTTTCTTAACTTCAACAACTAACCTTCCTTTTAAAAAATTTATTTTAACTAATGTCGGTGATTTAACAAATATTTCAAATCCATTACAATTAATTTTAGAAAATTTGAATTCAAGTAAAATAAATCATCATTTGTTTATCGGTGAACCAATTATTGAAAATTCAAAGATTAACGATTCAAACAAATCTTTGTTGGAAAACTATTTGAATTTAGAGAACTCTTACTTAAAAGTATTAAATCAAATATTTACTGATTCAAATTTAAATATTTTAAATGAATTAAATTCAAAAACTGCAATTGATATCAATAATCCAGAGTTTGGTTTTGGTAAATATTTAAAGAAAGTACAAATTAGATCAAATGTACTATCCATATTGAAAAATTCTATCGATGTCTCTTTTTATAAAGATTTTAATAATGATGGTGATGATAAAAAATTTGTGGAAACTTTGTCAAATTGGTTAGATTTAAATGATAAAAATCCATCTAATTCTATAGAATTATCAAATGCAAATATTGTTACCAACGAGTTGTACAATTATTTAATTGATAATAAACATAATGAAACTGTGTCAAGATTGCTATCAATTGCCCCTGATATTGATGATTATGCCTTTGCTTCAAATTGGTTAATTGGCTCTGATCTATGGTCTTATGATTTAGGTCATTCAGGTGTTCATCAGGTAATTGAGTCAAATGAAAATATCAATATGCTAATTATAGATTCTAATCCTTATGACAACGATCCTTCTAAGAAATCGCTAAACCTTTCCAAAAAAGATATTGGTCTATATGCTATGAATCATTCAAATATTTATGTTGCATCAGTTGCAGTCTATTCTTCATATACTCAATTATTAACCGCATTAAATGAAGCTGCAAAATATGATGGTCCGTCAATTGTATTGGCCTATTTACCTTATAAGTCAGAAAATGATTCTCCTCTAGATATTTTGAAGGAAACTAAGCTAGCTGTGGAATCTGGGTATTGGCCGTTATACAGATACAATCCTGATATTGAATTGGAAACTCCAGATCAATCTGGTTTCACTTTAGATTCTTCTGTTATCAGACATGAATTACAAAGATTCTTAGATCGTGAAAATAAATTAACTCTTCTATCGAAGAATTTGAATAACTATCAATTAGAATCCATGAACAAAAATTCTCAAGTTAATTCAATTCAATTGGAAAAGGCAAATGATGCTTTCCAACAATTGGTGAGCGGCTTATCTGGTCCACCATTATCAATATTTTATGCTTCGGATGGGGGTAATGCTTCAAGTTTAGCAACCTCTTTAGCGAAAAAGGCAAAATTAAGAAGTTTGAGTTCAACAGTGGCATCTATGGATGAGTTGAATATTGATGATTTAACAAGCTACAAAAATATAGTCTTTATAACATCTACTGCTGGTCAAGGTGAATTTCCTCAGGACGGTAAAGCATTTTGGGATCAAATTAAATCTAACATTGACTTGGACTTAAACACCGTTAACTATTCCGTATTTGGTTTGGGTGACTCTAAATACTGGCCGCGTAAGGAGGATTACATTTATTATAATAAACCATCAAAGGATTTATTCAAAAAACTTCAAATTTTGTCTGCTAATGAATTAATTCCATTAGGTTTGGGTGATGACCAAGATGATGATGGTTTCCAAACAGGATACAAAGTTTGGGAAGCTCAACTATGGGAAGCTATGGGTGTAGCGTCAGTTGAATTATCAGGTGAAGAACCAAAAGAATTGACCAATGAAGAAATGAAATTATCTTCCAATTTCTTAAGAGGTACTATCAAGGAAGGGATGGAAGATACTTCAACTGGTGCAGTTTCATCTACAGATCAACAATTAACTAAATTTCATGGGTTTTACATGCAAGACGATCGTGATATTAGAGATATTAGAAAAAAGCAAGGTTTGGAGCCGTACTATTCATTTATGATTAGAGCTAGATTGCCTGGAGGACAATTGACCCCTAATCAATGGTTGATTCTAGATAAATTGGCTGACAATAACGGTAATGGTACGATTAAGATCACAACCAGAGCCACAGTTCAATTACATGGTGTAATTAAGAAGAACATGAAGAATACGTTAAGAGCAATGAACTCAACTTTGATGGATTCCATTAGCGGCATGCGGGGATGTCAACAAAAATGTTTCTATCTCTGCATTGCTTTCCAATGCCAAAGTTTATAAGCAAGTTTTTCAATTTGGCACCAGAATATCTGAATATTTTTTACCAAAGACATCGGCCTATCATGAAATTTGGTTAGAAGGTCCTGATGAGCGTGATTATGATCCAATTTGGCCATCCATTTTTGAAAATAGAGAAGGTGGTCCAAATAAGAAGAAGACTTTAATTGCTGGTAATGCCTTGGTTGATGTGGAACCTTTGCTAAGCCCAGCCTACTTGCCTAGAAAGTTTAAGGTTAATATTGCTATTCCACCTTATAACGATGTCGATGTGTGGTCTAGTGATGTTGGTTTGATTGCAATTATTGATAGGGCTACTGACGATTTATTAGGTTTTAATTTATATGTGGGCGGTGGTATGGGTACTACTCACAATAATAAGAAAACTTATCCTAGAACTGGTTCTTCATTCGGTTTTGTCGAAAAAGAGGATGTTTTCAAAGCAATCGAAGCTGTAATGATTGTTCAAAGAGATAATGGTGATCGTAAGAACCGTAAGCATGCTCGTTTAAAGTATACAATTGATGACATGACTGTCGAAGCTTACAAAAAAGCCACGGAAGATATTTGGGGAAAGAAATTTTTACCAGAAAAATCATTTGAAATTAGATCCAATATTGATTACTTTGGTTGGGTAAGAGATGAAACTGGTTTGAACCACTGTACTTTATTCATCGAAAATGGTAGGGTTGCTGACACTCCAGAATTGCCTCATAAAACAGGTATGAAGAAGATCGCAAAACTGATGCAGAAATATGACAATGGTCACTTTAGATTAACTGGTAACCAACATGCCTTAATTTCTGATGTCAAAGACGAATATTTGGACGAATTCAAATCAATATTAAAAGAATACAAATTGGATGAAACAAACTTTAGTGGATTGAGAAAATCATCGGCGGCATGTGTTGCTCTTCCAACCTGTGGTTTGGCAATGGCAGAATCTGAACGTTACTTACCTGAATTAATTACTAAAATCGAAGATATATTAGAAGAATTTGGCTTGCGTCATGATTCCATTGTTATGAGAATGACAGGGTGTCCAAACGGTTGTTCAAGGCCATGGTTAGCTGAACTGGCACTAATTGGTAAGGCTCCGAATACCTATAATTTGATGTTGGGTGGTGGTTACTATGGACAAAGATTAAATAAATTATATAGAGCGTCAATTAAGGAAGAGGAAATTTTAGAGATTTTAAGACCATTATTCAAGAGATGGGCTTTGGAAAGACTAGACGAAGAACATTTCGGTGATTTCTTAATTAGAGTTGGCGTTATTAAGCCTACCCTAGAAGGTAAATATTTCCACGACGATATTCCTGAAGAAGCTCTTTAACTTATTTATAAACTGAACTTTGTATATTTATAGATGCGTATTTGTATATATTAATTTATTTATTTGTTTGTTTGTCTGTTTTTTTTAGTTTAACTATATGTTAACTTAATGGCTTGATCGAATCAAATTCAAAGAATTAATTTTCTTAATATATTCATTAATAGGGAACTATTTACAGTCAGAAATATCTAATAAAAAATTGCGTTGCAATTTTTTCATAAATACTATATAATTTTTCGTTAAAAACAAATGTTATAATTCTTTGTATTCAATTTAATGCAAAATGGGTTTTTTTATTGGATATTTTGCAAACCTTTGACAATTCTGATATTAACATCTAAAAATCTGTTAACACAGTTAGAGAGACATTGTTCTTCTTGGGAAACTTAAAACAGGACCATTTACACTATTGACACATTGTTTGAAAACAAGTATTAGTGAATTGATGTATAGATGATTGAACCTTCTGCTTGGAGTTTCAGCCTCAATAAAAGAGGTAATTTCCTTTTTTCCAGAACCTCTAAATTGGCTAAATCAGCAGGAAAATTGATGGCTTATTGTTGGAAATTTCTTTTTATTGTAGAATGTCAAATCAAATAACTAGCTTGAATTTAATTAAAAATCAATTAATCCACCTAAATATTCACACATCCTTCTTTAACAACGTAACCTAATTACCTTCTTTATTTGCAAAAACCGTTTAAAGAATAAAATAAAGGGATAACCGGAACTAAATTGATCCAAAATTACGGGGTTAAAAAACTATCTATACAACTTCTTATGGAGAAAAAACGCGGTTTTTGTTATTTAGGATTGCCACCTTTTATTAGTTTCCAATAGCAACCCTGATTCTTAAATCTTTTTGGTTAGGGAGGGTTTCTCCCTAAAAATTTTTGTTAAAAGGTTCT